GTAGTCGTCCTCCTCGTCGTCCTAGCCGTCGTTCGTCAGCAGTTGTCGTCGCCTGCAGTTGTTTCAAGCAGCCCTGTTGATCCCAACGTATGCGAACGGTGCGAAGATGAACGTGGGCCCCTGGAGGTGGGCCTCGAGATCCTTCAGTCGTTGCAAGCACTGCCTGGGGACGCAGCCAATCGGGGAGTCTCATCATCGCACTTCTGCTCATGGGTCGCGAGCTCGACCTTCCAAAATCGGCGGGGAACTTTCACCAAATCCTTCAATTTCCGCTGGGACCCTTTCGGTGCAAGAACTGATTGGGGAATTCACCCGAGCGGGCCAATAGAATGCTGCCACTTTCGTCAATATCGGGTTCCTCAGGCCTGAATGTGGAGGCCCAATCGGGTGCATTTTAAAATGGTATTTCAATAAATCACGCGGGTGATGGTGATGATGATGATGACGACGATGATGATGATGATGATGATGATGATGATGATGATGATGATGACGATGATGATGATGATGATGATGATGATGATGGTTATGATGATGATGATGCCGATGACGATGATGATGTCGATGCTGCTGCTGATGATGATGATGCTGATGATGATGATGATGGCGGCCCCACCAGGGCCACGGCCCTGGCGGGCATGGCGCAAGCCTGGCGGGGGCACATCAACACGTTCATATCTGCGGAGGCCCCCGCCAGGACGATCGTGCAATTCCAGGCCCAGAGTTGAAAGTCGACCCCACTCATCCTGTTTGATTGCTCCCGCTCTGACTTCCCAGGTATTGCAATGTGGTGCAAGATCCACATATTATTCCTTGGAGATGGTGCGCCGTTTGCCATCTAGGCGCGCCCCAATCGCATCACAGCGTTATATGTTATAACCAGAATAAGGACGAGGAGGAGGGGCGAATAGGCGGGCGAGGGGAAGGAAGGAGGACGGGAGGGAAGGAAGGAGAGTAAAGAGTGACCGAAGGACGGAGGGATGGAGGCAGGGAGGGGGCAAGGGAGAGAGAGGGCGAGGGAGGGGAAAGAAAGGAGGGAGTAGGAAGGGAGAAAAGGACGAATTCCTGCGGAGGAAGGCTGAGGAGGAGGGGATGCACCGATTTCACACGCAATTTCACACGCGTGTGAAAATGCGTGTGAATTCTCACCCCTCCACCGCGAAGGCTGTCGCGACAGCTTCGTCTGAGATGCATATATAGGCTGCAGAGCTGGCCCTGCTAGTGCACGCGTCGTGCTCCCTCGCTGTCTCTCCGCCATCGTCGACTTCGTCGCCGTCGCCGTCGCCCACAAGCAACGTTTTTACACAGTTTGATTGCTGACGCCAACACGTTATCCTCTAGACTCGTCTTCCGCTCGGATCCGCCCTTGCCTCGACAATCGAGGCCGCAAGTAATTAGCTGTGTCATCGACTCACCGCCTGGCCGCGCCAACGGGTGGACTTAACGGAGAGGGGTGACGATGGCGCGCCTCAGGATGAGGAGGAGGAAGAGGAGGAGGAGGAGGAGGAGGAGGAGGAGGAGGACGAGGAGGAGGAGGAGAAGGAGGAGGAGGAGGAAGACTAGGGCGAGGAGAAACACGAAGAGGGAGAGGGGCAGGAGGAAGAGGAGGAGGAGGAGGAGGGGCAGGAGTAGGAGGAGGAGGGCGATGACGAGGAGGATCAGGAAGAGGACAAGGGAAAACGTGATCGAGGAGGACGAAGACAAGGGGGGGGAGGGGAAGCGGAGGAGGAGGAGGCCGACGAATTCAGAGGAGAGGCGTAGGATCAGAAGGGGAGCAAGAGATAAGTATACGAAAAGAGATTGGCGGGAGAGGCGGAGGAGACGAGGAGAAGGAGGACGACAAGGAACAGGAGGAGGGGGAGGAGGAGGAGGAGGGCAAGGAACCAACACGACTACAAACGAGGGCAACGTTCCCTCTATATTCTTTTTTCCGTTCTCCAGATCTTCCGACACCTCCTCATTCTCATGTTCCTTCTTTCCCATCTTCTCCCCAAGTTCCTCCTCCACCTCCTCTTCTCTTCGTCCTCGTCGTCGTCGTCGCCCTTCCCCTCCTCATTTTCCTGCTCGTCCTCCTCCTCCCTCTCCCTGGCCCGTCCCCTTGGCGCTGGCTGTGGCGGTGGGCGGGCGCTGCCCGAGCCATTCGGCCGCGGCGCCGCGGCCGCGAACGCGGGCCCCGCGCGCGCAGCCGCCAGAGCCGCAGAGAGCAGCAGAAGGCAGAAGACCGCCAAGGAAACCAAGGAGGAGGAGAGGAGAGGAGAGGCGAGGCGAGGAGAGGAGAGGCGAGGAGAGGAGAGGAGAGGAGAGGAGAGGAAAGGAGAGGAGAGAGAACGGAAAAGGAGGAGAAGGAAAAGGAAGGGAAGGGGGAGGAGGAGAGGGGAGGAGAAGAAAAGAGCGCAAGCAACCAAGAACATAAGTGTAAGGATATATGTATGTACATATATATATATATGGATTATATATGCAGCTAGCTCAAGCCTTGACGCATGTCAGTGCAAAACATACTCATGCTGCGCACGTGATAATTATCTAGCCGTGAAAATCGAGAGCTCTAGATTTATATGTTGTATACTCCGGAGATTCTCAAGAGTTTGGATCTCAGGGTCGAAGCCGAGACTCGGGTGGCGGGGGTCTCCGCGGAAGCCTTCTGGCACCCGCAATGCAGTGGGCCAGACCTGCCTGGCGAGTGCTCTCTGCGACTCTTCCACGATGCGTCGGCGTTGTCCCCGCGGGGGCTTTTTACGCTTATTTCCGACGTGGTCGCAGGGGCAATGTTTTCGCGTAAGTGCATTGGACCTCAGTTTTCTGACGAACTTCTAGGTTTTTTCTGGCTCGCATCGGAGCGCCCCAGACTCTGCGGGGCCCCGATGCGCAGGCATTGTGGTCGAAGTCCCCGATGCGTGTTTCTGCTACCAAGCAGCGCCGGCCCCCCGCGTCCGACCGCGCCTTGCCAGGCTTAGTGGAGCACGGAAGAACACGCGCATCGGTCCACGCAGTTGGGCCATCTTGCCGCCGCGCCGCCAGACCTCGAAGTAGAATTTTGACATGCGCGGTCTGTGCGAACGCTGCTTGGGGGCCTCGCGTGCGCGACCACCGGCGCCAGAGGCGCATGCTGCTCCAGCAGCTGGCCGCCGCCTTTCGCCCGCTCGATGCCTTCGTTGAAGCAGCGGCGCGTGTCTGCGCCGGCCGCGCCAGGTCTCCCCGGTCCCCACTGCCACACTCATCTGCCTGATGGGCTGGCCGGACCGTGGTCTGCCGTGTTGTCTCGTGCGCGGGTTCGAGCTCACGGCGGCGGCGCGGACGTCTGGGGTTCGCAGGCCCTGCGAGACAAGGTCCACAGGACAGAACGCACCAGCCCAAGTGAGCGAGACACTCAGAGGGCCAGCCGCGGCAACGCACGCTCGGAACCTGGAGCGCGGCATGCGGCCTGGGCCGTTGAATCGCGCGATCTACGATCTCACTGTCGAGGAGATCCGCGCTGGTTTGGCGGAGCTTTTCGTAAGCCGCGCCGACCTCGACTGACGATTTGGCGTCGGGGGTTACTGGCCTTGCCTCGTCGCGCTATCTGGCAACGCGAGACGTCGCGAATGGTCGACGACGGGAAGCGTGCTCGCACCATTGTTTTGTCGTTCGCGTCCGAGACGTTGGTCTCAGCGCCGTCAGAACTGTTCATGCTAACCGCGCGCGCCTTTGCGATGGAAGCGATTG